ATACAGGTGCTCCCATTGCAACGAACCTCTAACAATTTCGTACTAATCCTCTTGATACTCCTTTCTAGAGGCTGACTGTAATAAGCAGTTTTTGGTATTCCTGGTTTGTGGGTGGCAAATGGAATTATAAAGGAAAAAACAAGAACTGTGGGAGGTGTTTAGTAGCTATCTTGACAACTTGCAGGCACCTACAACATTAACCAAGTTAAATCTCAAGTGCTTAAATTCCCTTTGCATCAATCTGCTCTTGATCAGTTTGTGGTGGCAGTACCTTCTATTTTTACTGAGTATCCTAGCACACTACATATTGTAATCACAAAAAATACAAGTTATATATCCTACACGTGCAAACACATTCACATGGGCCAAAAAAATTAAGAACTGAGTTGTCTTCTCTCCTTACCCCATCAGTAATATATATAAAACAACAGGAATATTATCAAAACATGTACAATACGAACTTAAATCCCCAAATTGCTTGTCACACTCATCGCTTAAACAGCAATTTCCCCACAGTACTTCCACCCCCTCACACCTTCCAAGAGCTTTGAGCCCTTAAATATGGGTTCTGAATCAGCACCGGGAGTAGCCTGCAGCCCCCAAGCATCCATTTTGCCAAGTCGTGACTTATGCTGCAAGTCCAGGCACGTGCTTGCGCACACACACAGCCCACACACACACACAAAGACTTCTGAGCATCCCATCAGCTGTCACGTAGCAGTCAGCTTGCCAGAAGCAGCCTGCAACACCACATATCCATATCTGCAGAAACCAATTCTTCCTCTACCTTTGGGATCAAGGCGTGCCAGCTGTAGGTTAAAGACAGAGAACTCGCACAACCAAAAGACATGGGGGGGGGGGGGGGGGGGAAACGGGGGGGGGGGGGGGGGCGGAAAATCAGTGTCACTGTTACCTCTTCTCACTGGGATTTGTTCAAAAAGCACTGCTTGTCAGGAAGTTCCAGAAGAGGCAAGGATTAAACCCCGTTTGCCTACTTAATCCCCATAGGCAAATCTCATTTTGCCTATGCTGCAGTTTAGAGACCACCAGCACAGGGTGTTATTTAACAAATGTTAATAGTTCTGTAGTAATACCTGATGTGGTTGTTCTTAACGCACATTAAGTGTAAGGGAACTTCCTCTTCCTTTCATGTGGACAGCTTCACAGAAAGATGCTTACTATTTGTTTTCGTTTTGCTACGCCCTTCCAATACTGACTGTGCATTTCACCCACAGGAATAGCTGCCTCTTGCTTTCAACAAAAATACCGTATTACCAGAGTAAGACTACATTCCTGGGATCAGATAATTCTTGCCCTCAGAAAGTATCCTGCCATCACAGACAACGCTGCACCCACATACCAACATGAATGTTTCCAGCATTATACACCACCTTACTCAGCTCAGGGTCCATCCTTGATTACATAAAATGGCATTGCCAGTATTGCTTATATTCTACTTAAACTAGCCAAGGAAAGACACTTGAACGAGATATAAAGGAATGAAGGGATAAAAGCTGCTATAAAACAAGAACGGCCAAATATTACCATCTACCCATGCATTTTGCTAATCCTGTCATAAATGTGCTCCTGATTCTGTACACCATAGAGGAAAGAGCAGTGGCTTCTACCAATAAATCCAAGGCTCATTTTTCTTCCATATCTCAAACCCATAAACTAGCTAACACTGGACACAGGGAAGTATCATACTCCATTTCTACACTGAGCTAATATTACGAATTACATTATTTCCTATCTAAAATATTCTGCATTACCACAAATTTTGTAACTGAAAAGTTGATAGGATCCTTTGGAGACCCAGATGGACCTCATGATACACCCCAGCAATGCATGCAAGATGAAAAAGTTGGGAGCTGTCTTGCCTACAGCTTGCACAGCTCTGCGTTACCTCAGATAGTTCTGCCCATGGCTAGAAGAATGTCTCTGCCCTTATTACTCTCTGTGTCTGGCAGGAGCAGGAAAGATAGCTGCTGATAAAGAAAGCCAGGGGACAGAACAGAGACAGGGGAAACAGACCTAATGCTGCCAGCCTTCTCCCACCCGATGCCATGCCTCCCACCAGGGAGTGGTGGAAGTGGCCTCTCCTCTTCTCATGCTCTCCCTCGTTGAGGGAAGCATTTTTTCCTTATCTGTTGGCCTCTGCTGACCTTGAGCTGTTTATTACTAAGCGGAGCCTCACAATGATTGAGATAAGCCAGAGGGAAGGCAGGAGCAAAGGGAAGGACTGTAGCATGCTTCCTCATTCTCAAAGGTCGCAGCCCATTTTCATCCCTCAGACATGCTGATCTATCAGATATCACACGTCAAAGTTAGTGAAAGCAGAAAAGTAAAGGGATTTCTGCAGCTGACGTGCACCTAGTGACAAAACACATGAACATCACGCTGAAGAAACAGACCTCTCTGTCCTCCTGGGCACAAATGGTTTCCTTCCGTTACTTCTGTGGATTTATCTGTTGTCATATAGGAAAACTGAGACAAAGCAGCGTAGGTGGCCACCCCCTCAAGAGGTGGTACAAGAGATATTTAAAACTTCGTAAGCCACCAGGTAACAGACAAAATGCCCTTTGCTGTCACACTGCAATATATAAACTCAGCAGCAGAAACAAGAACAGTGCTCCAACAGGCATCACAACAGGAAAGATAACTTGCTCTAATTACAGTCTCTGCTCCACTATACTTACCATCCAAAACTAAATGGATTCATTAGTAGATAAATAGAGGGAAACATGTGAACGCAAATTTAAATTTACTACTGTCTTTGAAATGCTGACAGAAAGCAAAGGTGGATCAAGAAGATCTCTGTGTTCCCTGCCTTAGGAAGAAGAATTTTCTGTGTTTGAACTGTGTCAATTTAGAAATTAATTGAAGGCTTTCCAAGAAACTCTATCTTCCAAGCTAGAAGTGATATACTTTGTGGCTCTTCGTCTATAGCCTAAAATGTCAGTAGGTTCTAGCACAATGAACTCTGTAGCAGTAGGCAGTTTAGTAAAAAACTCAAATTGTTCTTAAAGTCACAAATTCCCTTAAAAAGAAAACAGTATCAGAGTCTTTGGCTGTGCTTCCAGGTTTATAACATGCATGCTCAGATAACCCAGCAGTACAAATTTAAGCTGTAATATATGAGCATAATGTCCCATTTCTGCTGACTTTTGCCATAGTACATACATAGCATTTAGGCCCTCTCTCCATCTGCCAAGAAAAGGGGAGCCCTGTGCAATTTCCATAAAGCTTCCTGGACTTTTTGAGTAAGTTTATATGAGCAGCTTGAGGATATACTAGTGCTTCACATTTTGCAGCATCATGCCGCTGATCTGCTGTTAGGCACCTTAAAACCAGACCTTCCTCCTTGCGAATTCACAGCCTTGAAGTATGTGAAAAGCAGTCAATGGGTCTAGTTTCAACCTATACAAAATCTGAAGTTACAGCTGTGGGGTGCATTGGATTTTTTTAACCCGCTCTCATGTTCATTCTTGATAGGATTTTTTTCATTACCACGTTAATGCAGCTTGCCTTATCCAAGCACTGACTAAGGTGCATTTACCATTCCAAAGTGAAAAAGTTAATTGGAAAATACTCAAGCTTTTAGCTCTATACAGTTAAAATAAAAATCCAACAAAGACCTAGCGGAAGTGGTCATAATTCTCAGTAGATAAGGAACCTCAACAAGAATCTGCATTAATACTAATTAATAATTCTGCAATTGTAGATTCTATGTCCCTAGCTTCATATAGGAAAACATTTACACTTAAAAAAAAAAATACTATCCTCATCGTTTAACTGTTCAAATCAGTATCTTTCCAAAAGCAAGCATTTTACTGTAATAAAGTGCACATGCAAGCATAATGTTTACAAATTGGGGAGCATACTTAGGAGCTTTACCTGACCAAGAGATTTCTACCACATTCCAGAGCCAAATACCTGGAATCCAGTACAAGATCTATTGCAATGTGCATACAATTTACATTCAAGAAAAGAAGAAACTAACCACCCTGTAGTTTCTTTTTTGTCTGTATTTCCTACACATTAGCTTACATAAAGCCAGCATCTACCACAAATACATTATAACCCTACCTTCTGCTCCAGAACAGAAAGAAGAGTGAATGGCAACAGACAGACTGGTCACCGACAGAAAACAGTTGATCGTTTTTCTCTGAAGGAGTGTTAAAAATACGTGGATCTAACTGTAAGCAAAACAACTTCATAGTACAAAATGTACAGTCTAAATCGAAATGACCAAAGCATATTTCAATTAGGATAACTGAAATGCAGGTAAGTGCAGACATAAGCCCAAATTCCATGCACAATCACACAAATCGTGGATTCAGATGTGGGAACTGCATAGGCTAAGAATCCCCATTTGCAATTACCGTTTGGGTGCAACTCTAGTATTTAGTGGCCAGCTGATGTTTTTAAGTGGACAAAGAGAGCCTTGCCAAAAAGGAAATTCATGGAATTGACAAGATAACCTGAACAGAGAAAGAGAATCCAGCCAACAATTCTTCCAGTAGAAAAATCTTGTTACTGCAGGACAGGCCACTTAGAGAAACCATGAGGCTTTGCGTCCTGGGGTTAGAAGTGGGAAACTGAATGGAATTAACCCTGGTGCTATTTTGGGAAAGGTGCAAATAACTATCTTCTTGTCTGTTGACTGCTCTGACAGCACCCCTCCTCTCCCTTGCAGGTTCACACTACTTGCAGGCACTGATCACACAGCCCACCTCCTACCATGAGTAAAGGATTCAAGGATGAAACAGAACAGCAGTGAATCCAAACTCTGAGAAAAAGGAGGAAAAGTATCTCCTTCCACAGGTCTTACAGATGCCCTGAAGCCTGCTTGATCTCTGAAACTGGTAATAAGCTTGAACTGTTTTCTTTATCAGTTGCCTACAAAAGCATTACACACTTCATTTCTTTGATATAGCACAACTGAAAGCAAAGAGAGAAGCAGAAAATTCCAACGAAATGCAGAGTTTTGTTTTTACCTGGCGTTGGCTCCTTTAAGGTCACAGAAGTGCGAGAGTAAAGTTTTCACTACATCATTGCAGACAACTTTAACTACATCAATGTGACTCAGCCTCTGTCGCAGCTGCTTGGCAATCTCCCAGAAGTCTTCAGATAGCAGCTGGTATAGCTGCCCTTCATCTCTGCTGAGTTGCCCATACCAGGACAGGATGTAATCTCTATAGCTGTAGTCAAACACTGAAAGGAGAAACAAAACACTAAATAGCAAAAACTGCAAAAGGGGAAGGCACACTGTGATAGGAAAAACATAATCCTCCACCCTTCTCCTCAAAAATCAGATGAGCAATAGGTTTCACATCATCTTCTTTGGGTTTTAAATTCTTGCCAAAGAAAGTAAGGTTAGCGAAGTTACAGAAATCTGCACCTAACAGGTTACTGGAGGTCACTTTGCAAAGCAAAGCCTATAAGTGGATTTGCTCAGACAGTCAGGTTACTAGCTACACACAAACCTCAAACTAATACCTGGTTCTCAACAGTGGATTTGCTTATACAAACTATCATATAATCTGACTGTGTCCAGGCTCTTGCAGACTGAAACCAGCCTTCTTTACGTAGGAATTCAACGGCCGCCACTCCAAAGTCAGAGGTAAAAGGGGAGGTGGTAATATTTCTTCATTTCAAAAAGACATATACAATGCCGAACAACACTGCCAAGAAAGTACATTATAGGATGTATAGCTAGAGATGAGAGAACAAGTAGATTAGCAAGACAGCATGAACTTCAAAAACAAGGTATTCCAAACCACATCTACAAGCAATAACCAAGATCACTGTAATTGCGAGTCCCATGGCAACACCATCTTCTAGCATTTTGACTTTTCTTTTTGACAACATTTGTGTGCTGCCAGTTTTACTGATGTTTCACTACAGCAGATGTCACTGGAGGTCTAGGAGGAAGCAGGGTGTGTTCAAGGAGCACACATGAGCCATGTTTAGCAGTTACAAGATGGGGAAGAAGTCGGGGTGGAAGGAGGAGTCAGTTTGCATATACCAGAGGAATAACAGAACAAGAAAGGGGAAAATAAGTTGTGCCTGATAATCTGAGCAGCTTCTATTACCAGTGTCTTGGTTTAACCCCAGGCAGCAACTAAGCCCCACGCAGCTGCTCGCTCACTCCCCCACAGTGGGACGGGGGAGAGAATCAGAAGAGTAAAAGTGAGGAAAGTCATGGTTTGAGATAAAGACAGTTTAACAGGTAAAGCAAAAGCTGCTGGCAGGCCAGCACGAGAAGCTGGACTGCCCTTGACTACTTAGGCAACAACTCAAAACATCAGCACATTATCAACATTTTCTCATCCCAAATCCAAAATATAGCCTCACACTAGCTTCTGTGAAGGAAATTAACTCTATCTTGGCTGAAACCAGGACAACCAGACACCCTGCTGGGGGTGGGGGAAGTGAGCAAGCAGCTGTGTGGTGCTTAGTTGAGGCTTGAGGTTAAACCATGACACCATGCTGTTCTTTATAAAATTCAGGGTACTTTAGAACCCAGAATGTATGCCCAAATGAGCAATGGGACAGCTTTTGGGATTTTGTTTAGGAAAAAAAAAATTTAAAAAGGACACCAACCACAAACACTAACACCAGTCTGTGCTGGGGTAAGACACTGCCTCATCCGTATGTGTCATCCTGGCCATGACACACTGTTGCTGCTTTAGTTTCGTGCCTGTTGATGCAGCTGGTGCCTCTTTCAGCACTTTAAAGAAATACAGAAAACAAATATAAGAATTTTATACAGCACAGCTTGCTTCCTTCAGAGAAGAAACCTGCTCATGCATCTACTCTCATTATTTTTACACTGCATGTTCTCTAAAACATTGAAAACAACTGGTCAGAAGACAAGAAAGGAATAAAAAGAAAAGCAGAACACGCCTTCAGGACAATACCTTACTACCACTAACTCAGCTGCTACAAACATGAAACAAATTTCTGATTGAATCAGATGCAGTGACAGCAATGAGTCTGGTGCAAAACTGTAAAAACTTCGACTGGGTTTTCTAAATTAGTTCAAAAGAGCCGAGTCCCCAGTTGTTATAATCTGATTAAAAGTCATTCCCGTGTGAACGTGCAGTCGAACCTTTTCAATTACTCTCTTTAAAGACTGTAAACTAAAAGAGTATTGGGAGTAGAGAGCTAGAAGCTTGTGTGGAGGTTAGTGAGGACACCCCTTTACACACTTCCTTCATTCCTAACCCCATGCAGTCTACATTAACTGCTATCCCTTCTTCTTCCACATTCATTCATTCAGAGGTTCAGCGGCACCACAAGAGCCAGTGGGTCAGACTGGCCTCAAACCTGCAACTTGCAGAGCTTCACATCAGGCAGCTTTTACGCTGCAAAGATTCATTACCCAACTTTATGAAAAATAACACAGAAATCTGAATAAGAAAGACTAAATACCTACTCATTTCCTCAAACCACCATTAAAAACAGACTAGAATAATTTTCCCTGTGCAAATGCAGACAAGAGTTCGAAGTTTCAAACAAGAAGTAGGTATCCTTTCCTGAAAGCACTAGAGAGATCAGAACCATTATGTTAAGTTACGCTGAAGTCCAAAACTCTCCTGTGACTACATATGAACAACAGAAGAGAAGGTATAGCTACAACGCTGGCTGAGTTACGCTACAATGACAAGCATCACAATCTATAAAACAGAAATGCAACATTAATATGAATTGTGTTAAGATCCTGCATCAGGAAACCACCATCAAACAGCCAAGACGCACTATTATAATGCTGTGCTACTACACTAGATTTAACATGCATAGTATGGTTATCATAGGCTATACTTGAAGAAAAACACTGTAAATAAAAATTTAAGGGAAAAAGATGACAGACTATACCACTGTGAAGTACCTGGCAAAGAGCTATTCTTAGAAGTAAATGTTAAATGCTTAGTTATTTGTTAGAGCTACTACTTTTCCCCCCTGCCAAAAGCCAATTCAGTAAAAGAAAAAAAAAAGTGCCTTATCTTCATCCTCAAAAATCGAACTAAAATCTTAAAGCCTCTATATTGAAGTCCCTAAAAATTACTAATAAATACCCTGAATATGCGACTCTATAATTTCCAATACATTAATTTTTAAATTTAAAGAGACAAAGGCCATTATTCACTTACTGAATTTTAGATTTTATTATGTTTTAGCTATACAATACAAATTAAGATTATGAGTTTTTATACATAACATTATCTTTATTTATTGAAGTTTCTCATGCCCACTAAATCTTGATTTAGACCATGGTGTCAAAGGCTGGCAAAATGCTGTGTAAGTGCCCAGACTTCAGTGACTGAGAACCTGCCCCAGTCGCTAATGATAGTGATTTATAGATTTCGGTTCTCTTGTTAAAGTTTGTGCTTGGAAAAACACTAGCATTTCTTGATTTACTTGCATTTTACAACATTATTCAAACTCTATGAAACTGCCATGTTTAATAGACTAGATGTTATCACTGTGCATAGACGGAGAGCCTCTGTGTGAAAGGGATCACATCCTAAGTCTCCCATTCCACGTTGTTTTGTTTATTTTTATTAAAATTTTCTTGACATTTGCTTCTTTAATAATTAATATGAATGTGCAGAAAAAACATGGAAATTTCCAAATATATAAATAGAGGAAAAAAAGTTGTTAGAAAGGTCTAGGAAATGCATTTAAAAAAAAAAATCAGACATTTTAACAGAACTATTCTGCTTTGTCCATGTACCCTTTGCCAAGAGTTCTTAGTTCCAAGTGTTTAAATCCCAGTAGCAGAGAGAACATGAATTCAAATTAAGTCTTGCTCATATTTTGGCCCCAAACAACTCATTTTTTAAGAACTGTGAAAAAAAAAGAATACAGTTTTTCAAATAGAGCATGGCAGAAGCTACTTCAATTTTTTTTTCTTCCTAAATGTCAATGTGTTGAAAATGTTGGAAAGCAGATAGATTGTGAAAAAACTCCTCTGTAAATGGAAGTCCTGCCTTACATCCCCAACAGAGTCCTTCTAAAGGGTCAACAAGAACACAGACAGGCAAGATCTGATCCACAGGTACAATCTAATTAAATTCCCAAAATATTTCCAACAAAGTGACCTCAACACAGGCTTGGACGAAGATAAGCCACTATGAAAGAACAGATGTCTCTCTGGCATGAAATACTTTAAGAGATAAGAAACACAAATAAATAGTCAATTTTCACAGCAGAAAAATTTCACCAGTGGAGTTCTGCTGGGATTTGTGCTATGGCATGTGCTGGTTTACTTACTCATAAATGATCCAGTAAAGCAGGTAAGTAATATGGAGACCGATTTTCCAGGCACTACTAAAGCAGTAGAGACAAAGACTGACTGTGAAGACTAAGAAAGACCACAGAACAGGGGGCAATAAAAATGGAAGACGCCAATTCAGTTCCTGGGAGACTGGCTACGCATATGGCAGATAAATCTACCGACAGCTACAGCCCTCAGCCCGAACACTACACTGCGCAACAGCGGCACCAGTCTGACTGACCACAGCCTCTTTTAAGAGACATGCTCCTAAACTACCTCATGGTACGGGCTGAAAACATTGAAGTTACCAGATAAGCAACAGGAAGTGTTAAAAGAGTAAAAAGTATTTGTAAAAGTGGATCATCTTTTCTTTGCGTAAAATAAATGAAGGGCAAACAAGAATCAACCCACCGCGAAAAAGCACAAATATCAGTGACTCAGTTTTAGTCACTTCAAGTAGTACTGGCTGAAAAAGGGACTTTAAAACTACAGGGGTTTAAAACCAAAAGGCCGCCTCTTCCTGCCTTATTCAACAAGGAAAATCCTTTTAGAACATGACACTTGTTCTGATTTTGAGCACTTAGATTTCATAAAACACACCACACAGTAGCAGGGCTAATTCACAGCCTTCCCTCACCTTGTATCTGCAGCTTATGCAAGTATGCTATAATTAAGAACGAAACGGCGCTCTGAAGCACCATCCTTTTAACACCACTATGTTGCCAGTGGGAGAGGAAAGAAGTTTAGAACTGAGCTGTAAACCAACGCAAACAGAAGTTCCTCCTTGGTGGTGCTTAGTGACTAACATTGTAGAAAGACAGTTCCCAACAACTCTGTTACAATGGCTTTGGCAAGACGAGAAGCTATCCAAGACACAGGCAACTTATCAGCCAATGACCATCACGGGAAAACTATCTAAGCACCGTAATGTTTTTAATGAAATAATAATGGTTGAAACTGAACCATGCATGACTCCTTGAATTAAAACTAAGGATGATCACCAATACCTATCTATCCATCTTTCCAACTACATTAGCAGACTAGGACGAGAACATCAGGAAAAATGCGGTAAACCAAGCGACAGCTTGTCAAGCAAGACACACCGCACAACCTCAGGAGTGCCACTCTAAACCCAGGGAGAGAAGTCCATACAGACTGGCTGTAACACCAGCAAAAGCATGGCACGACTAAGTAACAGTCAACAGGCAAATCTTGAGGGGTGCAAGGTAGTTAGCAACTAACAGTAAACCCTAGGCAAACTTAATTACACAGATGAAAAACAGGTGAAGAAGTCAGAATTAACCAAAGGGCTGTCTCTCCATAACCAAATGCAATAGCATTTCTGAAATTAGATGATGCTGGCTCCTCCAAAAATGTTATCCTTGCATCTCTAAGGTAGTGTTAAAGAGAAGTAAAATCTGATTAAAAAAACACTGCAAAACCCCATTAACTGTGATAATCTGAAAAACACATACTCAAAACCTCAAGCAGAGGTAGGAGTCTGAACTGGTCCCCAAGATTAAAATCTCAAGAGAACTGAAAGTTTCCTAAACAAATGAATGAGGCTTTTTAACCATTTTGTTGAACAGCATGTTACATCATCACAACCAGCAAGAAGTTGTCAAAAACTCCTGGGATTTACAAATACTTCAATCCTCATCAGTGTAAGACTGGAAACAGAAATACAGACAACATTTTTTATATCATCAGTCAAAGTTTTGTTTAACCATGAACTTGCAAAAAAAAAACCAAAAACACACGAACACATTCATAACATCAAGACAACAATAAATTTCAGAACTGTCACAGGGGAAGGAATATGCCCTGTCTACTTTCAGACAGACTGATCATTTTACTTTAATAAAAAAGTAAAATGTTTCTTTTGGGATTCATTCAATATCTCAAACTTAAGTTGACTCAGACACCTTCCAAAAAAAAAAAACACTTGCTTAAGTCTGCGTGTGGAAAACTACCATCTCATCCTCGTCAAACTGTATAACAGAGGAATAGTTGGCTTCATCACTTAGGCCTGGAAGAAATACAACCAAATCTGACAAGTTTGCTCTCCAAAATTCAGAGTGAGAATGGAGAGTAAAAGCTACTCTGAAAAGAAAGAGCAGAAAGGCAAGTAAGCTGCCACGACAGAAGGCCCTCACCTCTGAAAAATGAATCACTTAAATATTGGTAACTTTCTTTCAGCCTCACTGAGTAAGGATGGACTCATACATGCAACTGAATGATCTGCTGGATAAACAGCTTAGGTGAAGACAGCTCCCGTATTTTTTAGCCATAAGTTACTCCTATGTGCAAGTAACAGGAGGAAAGTGTAACACAACTATCTTTCCTCCAGTATTCCACAATACCTGTTGTCTGTCTCCAAAACACCCCACTACCTCCAATTCTGTGCAGATTATGTCACGGCTTCATTTCAAATTCCAAGGCAGGTTATCCAAAATGTAGAGTACGCATGTGAGAGAGTACAGCAAATAACTTGTCTGTGCTTGTTTCATACATGTAATGTTTAGACTCTGCTATGCTTTTCACATCATCAGGAATCTAGATGAAAATACTGCCTAATAAAAAATTATGATATAATAGTTCAGCTTCACAGAAACGTGACATAGTAGGTAAAGTGTTCTACTTTTATATTTTAGCCACATATCCTGCTAACAGGTGTTCATAAAAATAACTTTAAAAACATAACACATCCCAAGAAATTTTCATAAGACAACCAACCTGTTTAAAGGAATAATAATTTTAAAATATACTCTCCAGATGTGAAAAAAGAAAAAAAAAAAAAAACAACAAAACACACACACACATGCTGCAAAGAAATCTTAAAGGAAAAAATATTCAAAATTAGATAAAGTATTTACAGAAGACAGAAATGGCATCATATTTTATAAATGTATTTTAGAAGCTACAGTACACAACTCATTTTATGTGTTTTCCTCCTTTACTATACAAGCTAGGTTCCCCCCCATCATCTTTACATTCCAACTCGGCATAATCTTTGAAGTAACAAAAAAATGTTTTGCTTCAAACTCTGACACTATCCCAACTTCTGCAATATTTTGTATTATCAGGAGTCAGTTAAAAAAAAATGTGTGCAGAAGTAGTAGCTATTTTTTATTTTAAAGAATTGTAAACAAGGTATTTTAAATCCAAATGATCATAGTTCACATTTTATTATCCAAACCCCAGTGACTGTACTGGTGATCCACAGATTTCATAGACTGTATCAGACAGAAATACAAATGTTGATTATAGATTCAGTTTTCATGGCAAGAATTGCACTAAATGGGAAGACTGTAAGAGTCTACAAGATTTATCAGTTCAGGAGAACCCAATTAAGAATCTTTTAAATGTTACCCTTTTGCCTTGTGCACAAATAGTATGGCCTTTTCTTATTATATTTCTGTAAAGAACAGCCACTAAAATGACAAGGTATCAGTTAAATTGCAAAAACAACATCACATTACTTACTACAGTGGACCTCTTGGGAAGACCAAGACCGTGCACTTTTATTGTTTTATCAAGGAAGAAACGAAAAAATCCCGGAATATTGTACGGTCATGGTTTGCTAAGAGGACAAGGGATATTCAGAGTCTAATGCTCCTTTGTCCAAGTTAAGACTCACCTTCTTTCAGTGCTTTATCCATGTTGTGAGAAATGACCACTCTCCGTGACTGGAGTGAATCATGGGAGCTTCCAGACCAATTACTCTGAAATTCAAAGAGAACATTCATCATGAGAGGAAGGAATAAACCAAAAATGACAAAAGAAATAGAATTGGAATTCAGTATCGTTTGGTCACCCCACATGGTTAAAACAGATGAGTGTCGATTGTCTATGAGGTTATTATACATTGTTCATTAAGCACATATTAACACCCATTGTTGCATATCGTACACTGTGCAACTTGCCAAATTATCTTAAGGTTGGGGTTTTTTGGTAGCAGGGAGCTGTATTCATTTGCAATTCAGTGCACTGAGAATAGGACATCTACTTAATAAAACACCTGGAACTCTTCTGTTCAGTATATTCACAGCTTTATAAGATCTCCAAGAGATAGGTCAATAGCAAATATAACATCTTTACAGCCTACTGTCACAATGGACTTCATTTAGCCTCATAAACCACTTTTAAAAATAAAAGCGAAGCCCTTACGTCTCCTACAGTAATTTTGGTTCACATTCTTTTGGGCTTCTTCCTTCAAAGACACTTCTGGCACCTGCATTTTAAGCTGCTGTACTACACAAACATTTGTCTATATCGGAGTATTAGCTTTTGTAGTGGCCAAGCAGACGGGCGGACAGAGAAACATTTTTCAGGGCATAGACAAAAAGCAGCGATTCTCGCTGTCCTTACATAGAAAGGATTGGAATTAAAATCAGAAATAGAAACTGTCCCCGCTGCCACTCAGCGTACTCCCACTCTTGATGGGAGCTCAGACTCTCCTTGGTGAGGAGACAGCGCTTCAAAACGTCCCAATCTCTCCAACATTCACCAAACAGAGAAGAAGAAAGCAGTATAAACTGTAAGGGGGGGGCTTAAGTAAAAGCACTCTTTAATGTTTTTAAAGGTAGCATGCCACTATTTCAGCTAATTTGCAGGCTAAGAGTGTATTTTGGTGTAACATGTTTTCCTTCTACTGCAGATAGAGTCTAGTATAAAGCACGTCTATGAGGACACAGATGAAGGAGTCTAAGCAGTACCCCAACAGCAAAATAAAGCTGCTCAGACTCCCGCCCCTCACACACAGCACTGCCACGGACACCTTCCAGGCCTTGCGTGCTCTCCTTCCACCCACAGTTAATTTGTTCCAGCTTTTGGGTGAGCGCAGCAACATTCCCCAGACTTCTTCCAGTCGCCACCCTGAGACCATGGCTGTGGTCTTCCAGCCATTTCCCTCCCCCCTTGACAACACTATCAATGGCAAAAGCCGCAAGATTTCAGCGTGTTTGGCTCCATTTGCAGCCCCTCTTATTATCAACTACAGGGAAGGAGGGGTAAGAACGAAGTATTATCTGACTAGTGAACCACTACAGATTTTCATGGCTCCCTTTCACCCGAACACAACGCTGGTAAAAGCTCAAGCCATACCCACCTAAACAGCTGCGGAAAGCATTTTTGCTGTGTGGAAGAACACCTAACAACAGTATTTGTAGGGCTCCAATACATCCCCTCTGACTGCTAATGTTGTCGTCGCTTCCTCCGCACAAAGCTGTGTTAATGCTAGTCACACAACTACTGCAGGATTTTTCTGCTTTATTTGCAGCAGGAAATCAGATGATTCATAGCCACTCCAATTTAAAAAGAGGAGAGACAGGCTCACAGAGACATTAAACATCCCAAATACATCTGGGGAGGGGGAAGGGATTCCGAAAGCTCTATTAAGCGAAGTCACTCAGGTCTTTCTGTGAAGAGCTACTAAAAATGAGGCCACATGAGCTCTCTGCTCAACATACTCCATCTCCCTTAACACTCACGCTAGCTTGGGCAGCCTACAAGACTAATCCTTCTGCTAAACTGAGTGACACCTGTATCGAGGTTGGTAACCTCAAGCCCCTTACTTAGGCGTCAACAGTTCTCATTTGCACGTAGTTTGCAGGAAGTGTTTTTTGACAGCCTAAAGCATCAGGAAGCGCTCCGGCGAAGCACTAGCCAAATTACTCCTTTCAAAACTAGTTTAAACACAAGCCGAGATAAGAAAATTATAAATGCTGAATTCTTACTTTTGCCTCCCTGCCTGCCTCACTTCAAGACTTCTTTATAGCAGAGGGAACAAAAAAAAAAAAAAAAAAAAAAAGGCCTTCAGATGGGATCCATGGCTGCAAGTAGCTTGCTCCACACCCGCACGCTACGATCCAATCTACAACAATCCCACAAAGCAGGAACTGATCCTCTTCCGTTTCAATCTTGGATGCTCATGTTAAGAACAAGGCAGACTCTTATTGCCTCAGTGAAATGCTGCCTCTTAAATACCAAGATACAAACTCACACTTCAGCTTGCAAGAGTATATTTCATTGAGAATGTCCTCTACGGTTGGTACATTTGACTTCTAAAAGACACTGGCTTTTCATTTAAAAAAAAAAAGAGAGTAACATCAATGTTTAGCGTGGAGAATTTCAAGTAAGACAACTGATCAAAAAGAATTTAAAAGGTAAGAAATGAATACCACCACTAGTAATGGTGATTTTGCTGCTGCATGAATGTAAATAGTGAAGGGCAAAGGAAGATGCACGGTATATTGGATTTTCTGAAAAATTCTCCATGCTCATACAGGTATTGCATACAACACCATGAACAGTCTGAGAGAGAACCACAGAGCAAGAAACAAACCTTACTGCTGTCTCCAACTACTAAACAAGACAGTACAGAGAAAAGAGAGCCAGACTCTTCTTGCAGATGCAAGACAAGAGGCAAGGTTGCAACACAGGAAATTCCCATCACTTACAAGGCAAAACTATTTTAATTGCAAGGCTGTGGAGTCTCCATCCTTGGAAATATTCCAAACTCGACAGGAGAAAGCCCTGAGCAATGTTACCTAGTTGGACCCACTCTGAGCAGGAGGGTGGACTAGATGCCCTCCAGACATTCCTTCCAACTTGAACTATTCTATGATGTTTGATGATCCTTCAGAGAACTGTGAATTTAATTTAGTGACTGATAATGGATCAGATCTTAAGTTGCCCTCTTAAAACTGTTCATCAAATTCCTTTTTCCTTTCAGTCTTACGAACTTGCACTTAGCAGAATCAAGTCTTCCATCTTGTTAGCTTAGATTTGCTTTTTAAAAATTCTGTTTCTGTGAGAACAATAATGATGAATTAACTTTAAAAAAAAAAAACTAACAGGCATCCCTCAGTTGCCCTACATACTGTTAGGTTTAAGGTATTTGTTGCTGTAACAACCCAGTAACACAGTTTACCAACACCTGTGATAACAGAAGGATTTCAGAAAATTCACAGTCCAAACTCATCTCTAACAGCTCAGAGAATGAAAAATCCAGCAGATTTCACTGGAAGATTTTCTTCCCACCCCTGCCTCAAGTCAGATGGAGGACGTATGCAGAGAACAGGTTCAGCTAGAAAGCCTAGAATTGAATGTTTTCACATTTTTCTTCATGTCGCTCATCTCAAGGAAAACGGTGCTATATTTCATGAAAGAGTTGGCATAACCCTGACTGAGCCAAAGATGTTCATAAATGGATTTAACACAGTCAAAGCTCTAGCTTAGATGTGCTTTTATACTGATTAAAACCTGGCATGTTCTCCATTAGTCCTGTCTTGTCCATCTTAGCCCAAAAAAATCGGGTCCCGCTCCGTCAAGTTTATTGTTGAAGGACGGCAGAAACCAGACTGAAACTTAAATAAGGCTTGAGAAAATTACTTGAAGGGGTGTGGGTGGAGCACATTTGGAAAGCACATGCAAGGAACGAGGTTGCTAACAAACAGGGAGGTCTGCTTCCTGGAACAGTTCAAGTTTTCCCCAATTTTGACTTTGTTTACAGGATGAAAAAAAGGATGCGTGTGTTTCCTGGAGACTTCTGAATAATACTCATTGTTTGACACTTTTGAGAATGATTTAAGATGCAGACAACAACAGTCTGAAAGGACCAGGAAAATAAAACCAAGGCTGGCATTGAGCCTGAAATTCTGTCTTAGGTTCAGTCTCCTACAGATGCAAAAATTAAGTTCATGTCATTTATTGGTTTAAACAATTTAAGTAATTTAAAATTAGTTTTGAAGAAAACAATGAACATTAAAGAATTAAGAAGGTGTTTCAACAACTACACTGAATAAACGGCAAAGCACGGAGAACACAGGGGCACCTCCCACTATCAAGAAATCCATCTGCAACACGCAGTCATCAAAAACAATTCCTAAAACATAACAGCAGAAAGCCAGGCACCTGCTACAGGCACACCACATGCAGACTTACTCTGCCATGGAATTAAAGCCAAAGCAGAGAAAAATTAGTAATTATTTCTATGACATTAACTCAATTACAACAAAACTAGAACAGAGCTCAGGACAGATCCCACAATATACATAGGCATTGTGCATCAGACATTCGGTTTCTTCACTGATCTAAAAGGCAAAGATTTACATCTAATTTGGCGTATAAGAACTACCCAGTTACTCACAGCTACTTGCTCTACATGCTGCTGCCCTATTAACTTTCTTCTTTTCTTCGTAAAATCTACATTAACATTAGACCAGACTTTGATAGACAGTCACAGCTTCAACTAATACTTCACTGAACTCTCCATAAATTCAGCTTTAACTGCTCTGCATAGATGTTTTCCTATAGTAGTAAATAGTACTTCAACTTACGATGCAAAATAATTCTTCTTTTCACAAGAGTTAATATTTTTAATTAATACCTATAGTTCTATTTTAGATCGCAAAGCAAGTACATGTGTGTCACATTAAGCATTAATCTACATATTTTAAGGGATACCATAACCACCAATTTAAAAATCAACATACTTAAAGCATGTTAATCCTATTACATTAAGCATCATTATCTCAATAATGATTTTATAGTATCAGAGTATCTTATTTCCACTAACATAGTAGCTTCTGGAACACAGGAACTGCGTTTATTACACGAGGATCTTCTCTTAAATGCACCGTGTTCAAAACTGGTAAAACCATAGTGGTATAAAAGCTTTATAATCAGGGCAGAACTTCCTTCTCTTGAGATTTCA